AAAACACAAGTGCCCCAATAATGTTGGTTCAACTAATGTGGCACCACAACAGCAGCGGGAGTGGTACCGATGGTGAAATGCAACATATCGCCTGCTTAAAACGCAGTGCATCTGGTAAATTTGTAACACTTTGCCATACACACAATCCACCGAGCAGTGCATAAAATTTTTGTTGACAATAATGACGTCCAAGCCGATGGCATCACCGTATCCACTCCGCTGTGCACCACATTAGGCGACACATTATTAACTGCGCTTGAGGGTTTGTTGCTGTAGTCGCATGTGTGAAGGCAGAGCTGCACACTTTAAACAAAAGAAGCAATTTTAATTGCCTTGAAGAGTGTTAAAGAGTTTATGCGCAACATTTGTGGCGCTACACATGAAAGGGCAGTTGGGGAAGAAGTAATACGTAACACTCACAATTAAAAACGCTATAAAATACTTTTCCAACAAAAGTCATAAATTGAAAACGACCAATCGGCAATGAGGCCACGATGGTTGTTCTTTGCGATTATAAAGCAGGCGGCAACGCTGACGTCGAATTTGACGTTGACGTCGGTTCTGTGGTAGTGTGCGACAAATGCAAGACTGCGCTGCAGAGCTTCGTGTGAATAAATATGTAAATTGATCAACAACATAAGAGCTTCAAATTTTCTTATAGGTTTACGGTCAGTGGGAAGGGGGAGGGTGCTCCAAATTAACAGACCATATCTAAACCTTAAACTCACCAGATGTTGGTGGTTTTTATGCCTGTGTTTATTATTCCATTATGCTGCTGTTTGTGTTGTTGTTCTTTCTTGCGTTTGTTGTTTCTGTTTTTGAGGTGACATCATTTTCTATACCAAATTCTACGAGTGTCATCTTAGTGTTTCACATGCAGGACCATGAGAAAGAAATTTTAAATAAAACCATACTGAAGAAAATTTTATATTTAGATATAGGGTGGAGTTACTTCATTGCATAAGTTTTGCGAAACAGACTTTGGATAGGTGTTGAATTCAGAACCTGGCTACTACGACAGTAATTTTCAGTATTTCAAAGCTTGCAGTATTTTAAATTTGTTAAAAACTGTCCATATTCCGCAGAAGTAGATTATAAATCTTTGATACTTTTATTCATTTGTTCGGTAAGATATTCATTTAGTAATTGTAGTCTAGTAGTATATTAAACTGTAATCGAAAGACTTCTATCATGAAATCGTTAACAGTAATATGAACGATGTTGACATGAAGATTAATAGAAAATTTAAGATAGCCATAGGTGCTACTAAGCAGGCGTTTGAAATGAAGAGCTTCCGACCGTTGAAATTTGTTGTAATAGGTTGTTCATCCTACTTGTACTTCTGTATGTAGCCGACGAATGAACGTTATCATATAGAATGATAAAGTATTGGGTATTTTGAGTGATTGAACAATAAAATTGACTACATATACTAATGAAATATGAGATGCATGTTCGAAAAATATGTTTCTTCTTCAGTTGGAGGAAGAAAACGTAAGGGAAGAAGGTGTATCCAGTTGAGTGATCAAATTGATGTATAAAACTAGAAAAGGAGCACACTTCATATCTAAACTCGGAGTTGGAAAGTTAGAGAAACTTAAGTATCTGAACAGATTCTTTTGATTCAGTGACACCTAAATACTTGATACCTAAATACTTTAATTGATCAGAAACTTGTTTACCAGAAAATATGTCTTTAGTAGTATAAAAATCTTTTTACTATGTTACGCACATAGGACACACATTCTATATGAGTTTCACGGGCAACTTATCAACAAGGAAACTTTACATAATAAACTTCTATGTTTGGGAAGAGACCGCAATCGGATCTCCTATATTCCAATTTTCATGGCCAAGTTTATTGGCTGCAAGGATAACATTTATCCATTTTGTTGGTTAACTAATTGTTACCAATTTAATAAGAATTCGCGTAATATTTAAAACTTTTCATCATTCTTAAAAGAAAAATTTCCTAGCATTTGCACTTGAGTTCTTTTTCACTTTGGAGCAGCCACTACAGCGTCATATCCAAGTAATCCTTGTCTAAATGCCACACCCTTTTTGTTTTTCTGACAAAAGTAGCCAATTCAGAGCAGTATTTGCTTTCTCACTTCTTTGATTAATAACTGTTGTAAAATTGAAAATTTTTCCAAAATTAAGGAAAAAGTAAAAAAATTAAAACGTACAAATTGAAAGTAATTTGTACAAAACGTAGGAAAAATTTTTAAAAAAGGAATAACAAGAATCTTGAGGAATTCTATTTAAGCTCAGAATGGCTCCGTTTATATGGGCGGTCACCTTTTTTTAACTTCTTGCCTGTGCCTGAAGATGTTGGAGTGGGCCAGGACAGCAAGACTCAAAGAAGTGAAAATAGACGCTGCAATAGAAAACGAAAAAAATCCGAAGAAAAAGGAATTCATTTTCCACCTAATTGCTTTGCTGTGATTAGTAATATTAAACTTTTTGGGGTTTGCTATTTGATTTCTAACAGTTTTTCTTTGTATTTAATTTCTTTCACAGCCAAGTTACTAAGCTGAACATTAATTCTTGTATGAATTCTGCTTTTTTTGCTTTTAATTTTTCATTTTTCGCTACGTTTTTCATGGGAAATTTTATAAATATTTTTTCGGGCTGAAAAAGTAGCAAAACTTATGCAATTACAAGGATTGATTACGTATGGAAATGTTAAAAAAACGATTTTGAAAAAGTTTTAAGGCAAGAACAGTATACAGAGGTGTCACTTTTTTATAAGGGTGAGAAGAGGACTGAAAAAAACTGATGGAATATACAAAACATTGTTGATAGAAAAAATGGATTTCAACACTTGAGTAAATATTTTCTAAAGTCAACTAATTTTACTACTCCACAGATTTTACACCCCTCGCAATGTTGTTAGTCATAAGATCTTTATTAATCACTCATCAACTGAAAGGACACTCGCATCATTACATTTGGTGTCCTGTCTTCAATATTTTAACATGCATCTTGAGTTGTTGGTTTACAAGTTTTGGGAAAATTTTACCGAAAATGGAAAATGCTCGAATGGCGCGTGTTTCAAAAATTAATATTAATTTGTTATGTCAACCTCGAAGTGCCATCCTCTTCCTTTTTCTTTTTTCAAGTGATAATTTCGTTTTTTTCACACTAAAAAATTAAATATATTCGTGCTCTGAAACAAAACTTGTACCACAGGCAGTTGTTTTTCTTATTTATTGTATATTTATATAAATATCTTTTTTAAATTTATTTAAAAAATTCGTAAAAATGAAGTGCTTATGTATTTTCATTAAACTATTTATTATTTAGGAGGATGAATCATTTTATTTTATGACGGCACGTGCGTGTAGTGAATCTTTTTGCATATCTCCAGAGGTAGAGACTATTTTCCAGAAGAGTTGCTAACATATTCTGAAATTTACTAGGCTGTTAGTTAGAAACATTATTATCATATGTAGTGAGTTACGTACCCACCACTAGTCTTAATGTATTAATTTACAAAGGTTATAGTATTTCCTTATGTACTCATTATCTCACTAAACTTACTACTAAGTGGAGATGATGATCTTATTGTGTTTAAAAAAATTACTGCCCAGTAAACATTTGTAAAGTTCTATTTCTTGGTTGTTGGTTGTTTATTCGCAAATTACTTTGTTAGTTTAAAAACACATCCAATAAAGTGAAATATGAGAAGTTTTCGTGCTATTTACATGGTGCTTAGGAAGCAAGAGTTTGTAAAACTGTTTATGGTAGTATACCTCTCAAGAATCAGTATGCTGTGAGAAATAAATTTAAATATTTTCGTCTTAAATTTTTTACAAAAAATTGGCCAATTTAAATTTAGTACGTAATCTGAAGGTTTATCCATTTCGAGGTTCAAATTTAGCAGCAGTACTTTGCAAGTCTCAGTTCTTCTAAGTCAAAATAAACTTTTATTCTTGAGTTCTTTCAGCTTGTAATTGAAACAGTAGGAATTAAAACTATTTTAATGCAGCTCAAATATTATTTAACAACATTCCGGCTAAGTATATCCCAAATTTGTGGTATCGTCGAGTCAATCTATATGTTGAACCAATGGAATAAAATAATAACTTCTGTTTATAAATATTTTTAATATTATTGATTTATTGTAAAAAATACGCTAGAACCAAACTTAAATAATGAAAAATATTACTTAATTTTGAATTCCTGCCGATACACGTATAACAATAATCATTTCGAAACGATGCTCAAAATAGTTAAGGGTGAGTTTTTTGCCAAACGTTGCAGTTTGTTTACATTTTTAAGGTTAATATTATTTCATTAATATCCTTTTAGTCAAACAAAAGCAGTGTAAATACATTGCATGTGTATGGAAAAGGATGCGCGTTTCAAGTGGCTGCAAATGGAGAATGCGATTGACGCTGCTTACGGCAACGCCCAGCACAGGAGAAGGAATCATTTACACTCAAGTGTGGCACAGGATATTAGAAATTTACATCAACAATGTAAACACTTATGGTTGACGGTGCTGATGTGGATTTTAAGCACTTTTTAGCGTTTTTCTCCTTGTCGCTTTGAGGAACATGAGTTTGTCATGATGAAGAGCAACGCGTAAGGGTGTCAGTTGCAGTAGAAAAACCATTTAAAATAACACCAACCAAAGAACAAGAGGCAATAGACGACGGTGACAGTCACAAGTACATTTATAATTCCGACCTGTTTAATTATGCCGAATATGACGCGTGTTGGGCTTGTCGCAAGTCCCAATCAACACTACTATTGCTGCTTTCTGCAGAACTTCGAATTTGTTTCCCATCCGCTTCCCGTAGAGTTTGATGCATTTCGTATCATTTTTTTGCTGCCGCTCTTACAAGTAAGTAATAGAATAATGTGCCATTAATGTGCTATTTAATAATTAATTTAAGTATGCAATCAACAGTGTAACCTAGAACCCACCTCTCCCTTCTGCAGTGGTAGAGTCGCGATTATTGTGGGAAAATGTGTTTTCCTGCATCACAAAATCATTTCACTTGCTACTGGCTGCCCTGAAAAACATAATTTTTCACAATTGGCCGACAGTTTTTAAAACTTACCAAATTTTGATAATAAATAAAATTTTTTACAATTCCCAAACGTGTTCGTGACTCTTTTGACATTTAAGTGCCGTTCCCACTTAAATTGCGTTTGTCAAGTGGCCGCCTATGAGGTTTGCGATCGTTGGTCATACATTGTATTTTGTATTGCAGTTTCACATTCGGAATTCATTCATAATTGTTTCGTTCTTCCTCGCCAATGTCTCGAAACTATCAAAACATCCGTTGACTTGGTTTTACGTTTTGGACTCTGTCACTGAACTTTTCCGCTAGCCAAATTCATTCATTGTTGCGCATTTCAAATTCTGAATTTACGTCCGCAAATGCGGCTAAAATTAATTGGTAACATCTCATGTGCTTTTGGTTTAATTAATAGTTTGAAATTATTTTTGTAATTTTGTTAATTTTTTATCTTCAATATGTCAAACTAAGTGCTGAAATAATAATTGTTGCTGTTCTGCCTCTGGCTTTGTTGCTATTCTGTTACTTCTGTAATTAATTTTTATGTGCCTTTTAGTCGTTGAAATGCAGCAATCGCCTCTTTCCGTAGGTGCTAATTTCGTCACCATCCATTTAACGTAATGCTACGATTAAAGTAATGCACAGTTTTTGGATGCGTTTAACGAATTCAGTTCAAATAAATCAATCATTTGAGAGAATTCGAGCTCTTAAGAGCTTCAGAAAAGTTTTAAGTGTTTTATTGTAATCATTTGTAGCTGAAATTATGTTAAAATCAATTATAATTAAATCAAAATTTCAATTTTTGTACCACCCACACCTTTCTAAAGATGATTATGTGCAAAGGATTCAATTATTTTGAAAAAATTATTACACAATATCCGAAAGTGATGTGGACCACTGTTAGAACAATAACTACACTAGCTCTGTTATGGAATTCTTGTTAAAGGTTCACTTAAATTACTCTTGACATTTATGAAGGAAATAAAAAATTTTACGATATTTCATTTTAAGATATTTTATAACTCCGCCATTAAGAACTAACAAAGCACTATTACATTTTTGCTCACCCCTTCTACCATATGTGGAAACCCTAACGGTTGACCCATTCTAGTACGCCGTAAATGATAATGTCTACATTCAATTCAATTCATAATAAACTCTCTTCCAAACGACATCGTTTAGTTAGTTTGATTGATTTTGAATTAGGAGCAAAACCTCCAAACAAAATTTCTAAAACAGAACGTTCAGTTTACCCAGCGGCGTGAGGGAGCGGAACGTTATTGTAAGACGAAAATGTAGTTTTTCACATTTTGTATGCGAAAGTACTTGAAAGCGTATTAATGGTAATACAGTGCCAATGCGTATGAATTTCTAATTAATTGACTTCGGGTTTTATGGCTTCATTAATTACCGCAAATTGAAGAAACGTCTTGAGAGCTTGTGTTTTAGTGTCAGGATGCAGCTGATGAGTTATCAGGCAGTCTACTTGGACAAAGTAGTAAAGAGTTTCAACGTCATTGCTTTCAGGTCGTAAAATAAAAAGTAAAAACTATGAATTATGCATCAGAAAGTCGTAAAAAAATTATATGTTCTAGTCTTACCATATAACCCGCTTCCCTTTATACTGTAAAAACGTAAAAAACCCATTAAAATTTATTAGCCAATATTTACATATGCATTACAAAATCAAATAATTTGTAGCATATTTATTAACAAAAGCCCTACCATCGGCTCTATTGACCTGATAGCAAAAAAAGAACAAAATGACGAGTAGTTTTTGAGACACTAATGAGACACTATAATTTAAGATTAAATAACGTGATTACTTGGATATTATTTTTTTAATAATATTTAGATTTATTCCATTTATTAAAGTGTTAAGTTAGTATTATCTAATAAAAAAGGTGTTTCCCACAGTCTTATACTAATTGACCAACACATTTAGCAAGGGAACATTGGAAAATGTGGAATGAAAGCAGGACGCTCCATAGTCGATCAATGGTATAATTTTTCGCACTTATTTTAGAGATGCACCTATCATTTATAATAACCTGTATATAATTGGCATATAAAAAATTGGCATATAAATCCGAATAAAAGTAGTTATTCTAGAACTCGCACCAAAACTATTATAACTATATCAGGCATTAAACAGACTATCTGCCCAACTCTGTAGCTTTCGTTTGAACTAGACTTTATACTTGATTACATAAATTTTGTAACGTTGGGCTTGAAAATGCACTGCAGTAGCTAGAGGGGCTTAAGAGAACTTAAAATAAAGATTTCAAAATTACGAATACAACCAGTGGTATGCTGCAATCAGCACTAGATATTTGTTAACATTGGAATGCTGCTGCTGTGGATTGAACGTAGAATAGTTGTTGGATCTATAAAGCTGAAGGATAATATATAAATAGCGAAATCATTATAAGATTTCTCAAATCACAAAACAACGTTATTAACAATTAGGAAATGAGAAAAGAAATTTGTTGAAAATAGGGTATCTGCAGAAATAATGAATACTCCGGATGGGAAACTGAAGAAACGTATTTGAAAATTATGGGACGCTCTTGAGAAGAAAACTTTGATAGTAATGGCAATCACGGTGTAGAAGTTATTCTATTAAAAATTGAACTCTTGAGGTTTTATAACACTATATATAAATAATGCTGTTGCCTCATACCAAATTACTGATATGAAGATCGTAAATATATAAGAATCAATCAATTAATTTTCTTATATGTGAAATGTGAATGAACAAGAGTAATATAAACCTCAGCCAAGGTAAGACAGCTGAGTAGTGGATACAGAATTAAATAAAGTCATAAAACTACTAGAATAATTATTTTTTGGCGTAAATATTCTGCTTCTTTAAATCCGAAATTGTAACATTGTGGTTTGTTGATCTGAGTTTTTTGTTTTCAAAGATAATTGACCTGATTGACTAATTATTGTTTAGGTTAGACGGCTATTTTGAATTATGTTAGATGATGCTTTGCCAACGAATTCACGACAGTCTGTTCAAATAAAAACTCAAGTATGTGGGTACGTTTATTGGTTGAGGACGAGTAAATTATTTAAGAAAATACAATGTTTGTTGTGGGTACATGTCGACTATAGCATTTAGGCGAATCTCATTAAATTATTTAGCGATGCGTTTTCGCAACACTTGAAAATAATCAAATTTAATGTGAGGTTAGAGTAGGTATTGAATATTTGGGAACTGTTTCGCAGTAAACATTTTTGCGTCATAATTGATTATTTATAACAGTTTTCGGTTCAAACATATATATGATTAAGCATGATTAATATAATTGCGAATTGGTTAATATGAACATGAATTATTTTTACGTTATTTCCTTCTTGTAAAAGTTTCAACAAATCAATATACCTAAAATTGAATAAAACATTCAAAATATCTCCTTTTTCCTTTTTAGTACAATATTTTAAACAGAGATCGTCAAAAGCCATTCAGATGACGAACCTAAATTGATTGGTCTCACTTTAATCGATACAGATTTCTCATACATTTGTGGCACTATATTTATAATTCAATTAGATATTCGTGGCATGATACCTAGTACATAAGGACAGTATCCGATAAGAATGGGTGATATGGTAACTTTTTGATATATGAATTTACTCATTCGAAATTTATTAGTTGTTACCATTTATAATAGCTTTCCATGGTACGGTATATTTAGTACGTACGAAGTTCAGTAAAGGTGAGTAAAAAATAAATATAGATACTAAGATTTTCTTAATTACATAAAAAACGAAAAGATTGAAAGTTTCTCGGCTGTTTCTATTATCGGGGGTCGAAAGTATCGGCTACCAATTATATATATTGATAAGCAAAGAAGCTCATTCTTGCTAACGAGTTAATTCGATTCGCGTCGTCCTGCGACTAAAAATATATATGGTTTTCAATACAATCTGGCTTAATAAAATGGCGGTTCTTAATAAGAAAACTCTGTCATTTGTTTATTTCCTGAAAGGTTGAAAATGAAATATCTTCATTGCAGCATCATTTCGAAGATCTGATAAAATAGCATAAACCCAGCATGCAAATGAGTTGTCTTTCAATGATTTTATTATTATGGATATAACGAAAATGTTTGAAATACGTGTTTATATTTTTTAAAAAGGAACTTATTTCTTTGGATTTGATTTCAATGTTGTAGTAATTATTTATGTTTTAAACGTGTTTACTTTTACTTCACTTTATTTTTTAATTTTTTATGTTTGTTCTTTTTTAAAATAGAGAAAAATTTCGCAATTACAATCTGTTATCATTTAAGAGTTAAGAATTATGTGTCTGTACATAGACGCAAGATACATAAAGCCAATTTGATTTAGACTCACGACGCATTAACGCAAAGTGATCGGTGTGCCAACGCATATCAATCTTATAGATGCATAGATATATGGATAGGTAGATACGCGCTGCATACATGTAAGTACGATCTTAAACATATGTAGCAATTTTTTAAAGCTATTGCCGCCAGTTTGCTTAATTTATAAATTGGCTTAAATCCAAAATGCACGCACAGGGAAAAGTTGCACTATTAACACTTCTGAGTTTGATTTAATCGCCGCGTGATTTGTGCGCATTTAAGTGCTCGATGTGCGTGCTTTTTGCACTAATTACAACACTTAAATTCACAAAAATATGGAATAATTATCTGTGTAAAAATTTATTCTCGTCTACTTAAATGATTAAGATTCTAATTTAATCATTCCAAGAGGCAAAATAGTTGCTGTGAATTTCAAAGTAGTGCAACAAGGCACAGTCATTTACAACGGATTTATTTTCGTGTTCATAAAGAGATAACGATATGGACAAGAAAATTCCTCATCGAATATTTGACAGCAAAGGTGCGTGATGGACATCTTACAAGGTTCGTTAAGTCATCGAAAAAGGTTTCTTTTGCGTATAGAAGAGTTCCAATTTTAAATATTATTTTGGCACTTTTCCCTTGACAAAGTCATAAAGTCTTATTCGCAAGAGTTTTTTATTATTTTTTAGTTTATTTGATTAGGTTAGCTTACTTTTGTAGTTTCTGATTATTTCTGCTTTGACTTCTGTTGATACAATATCTGCCACTAATCACTTTGCCTCAATTATTTTAGGTAATTTAAATTATCGCTAACTTACCCAGAATGATATCGTAATCTCTGCAAAATAATTTTAATATAAGTGGGTGTTTAATAAACGTAAAAGATATTAACGATCTAACATTCTTGTCTTATATTCTAATACGACATTTTGAATTTCATTAATTTTATTAATAGATTAAGTAATGTTTCCGGTCATTATATAATTTACAGGAGTCAACAAGTTAATAAAGACAGATCCTAGTTGACCTTGTTATTATATATTACATAGTATAATTATCAAGAAATAATGTGTCGTAACACTCATTACAAAATGAAATGGTTATATGTCTTTATGTATGGTCCTGAATCACAGTTTTTGACTGTTTTAATCAAAAATGGCTTGCTATTACTTAAATTATTACTATTATAAGTTACTCAAATTATTTTAATTTTAAAATTAAAATAAGATGTGAAAAAAGTACAAGACAATTTTTCAGATTTAAAATACATTTGCAGAACTACCGAGTATAGTTGACTTTTCGAGATTCTGAAGTGCTTTTGGTTAGTCAATTAAAATAAATATCTGCTTGTTTACAAATTGTAGAGGCATGCTGTCTATTTGGTGCAAACGGTAGTCTTCATTACTAGAACCATGGTGCCAAATCTATTTTTGCACTTCGTAAAGGTGCGAAAATATTGAACATGAAACGAATTATTTTCACTGATACAGTTTAGTCCGATGGCGTCAACATTATTTCTTAAATATCAGCACATAAAGTGCAATCACAAATTAGCAGAACAACGCATTTTACACGAATAATTGAGAAAGTGGCAGTCAAGAGCACGGAAAGCGATCTAGTCTGCAGAACGGGCGCTTAGTCCATCAACTGTTGTACTCGTGACATGTGGCTGCGGGAAAGGTGAGTGTAGTGCGCTTTAGATTTGCACCGTTAGCGTTAGAGTGTAATAAAGTGCGCCAAAGAAGATTAAAAATTTTGGGTCTGTGCCCAATGCAGTTCGGGCGTCACTCTGCTTCGGTAGCTGCAATGAATTGAAGAAAACTTATAGCTGCCTCTTAAACTCATGGCTCATATATTCAATTATCTTTTGAAAGGCAAATTACAAATTATTGCTGATTAACAAAAACACAAGCTCGATTTATTTTCTTTTGGATGCAAACAAATCGTATTCCAAAGTGTTTCAAAAGTGTTTCAAAACTTGATTAACTTAGTTCACTCGATATGCAAAACTATCCACTAAGTTCTTGGTTGATGTTTAGTTGGTTCTTGGCAGCGTTCCACATTCGAAAATCTTTTGTTTAGATTTTTTGCTAACCGCAATTGTAGCTGCGCCGCAATTATTTCAGGGTTTTCTCGATTGGAATTATTTATGCACTCAAAAACAATTAAATATTCTTTATGTAATAAATTAAATATTCTTTATGTAATAACAAAAATTAAAATTTTTGTAATTTTAGGTTTTAAATTAATGTGCAGAAGTTTTGGATGTTTCGTACTAAGACCGGCGGTCGTGGATGTTACCGTATAACTCAATTGAAATAAAGTTGCAATATAAAAGTTAATAAAATTACAAGTAAAATAAATCGATAGGACAGCTGAATATCAGAAGATATACGCACTGGATTTAATTTTGTTGCTATTCTGGTTTATGACAGAATTGTTTTGGATTGTTCTGACATCTTAAAGTTAGCAGAGAACTTTAACTTAACTCCACGTTATGATCATTTAAAGAAATATATCATCTGAGTTATACTTTGTTTGGTATAGGGAACTACTTAAGAAGATAGGTTTCATGACTTCAGTCTCTTAGATAGTTTCTTTTTAATCCCCCTCATTCCTGTAATATTTAACAGTTTAGTTTAATACTTGAGTTTTACTCAACATATCAATATTAGATTTTTCTTTAATTTTCATTTCTATATAACATCTCTAATATGGTAATTATTCATGTTGTATAATTCTTTCACGATGTCAAACACCTAACATATGTACTTATACAAGTTTATAAGACATTGTGGCAGAACAATTTATATGTTTCAATCTTGTCTATTTCTTATGTTTTATATTGAAAGACATAGACGAGGTAAAACAAATAGAAAATCTTAAATAAATAATAAAGTCTATTATTTTTTGGTTGAAAGTGTTTCATGCGCACATATGTTTTCAGCACGTTCAATACCGCAATAAAATTTCATATTTTATGTCTCGAAACACTTAAGATGAAACTTATGTAAATCGATTTAAATAAGGTGGCACAAATCTAATGGTCAATAAATATAAAAATTTTATAAACTCTTGAAAAACGTATCAGGCAACATGAAGACGAAGACCGAATTAAAATTCGAACGTATTGGATTCCATGTTGAGTGAACACTTCCCCAAGGTGCAGACATCGATTGGCTCAAAGGTTTCTGTACATGTATAATTTTAATGCTCACACGTTCACTGTAGTTCATGTAGCAATGATTGCGGTGTGTAGCGCTGCGCTGGTGTTGATGGAGCACCGCTGTAGCCGTCGTTGCCGCTGCTCCTTTTTAACAAGCTCCCCAGAGTCAAATAAAATAAAAAGTAACGCAGTATTTGCTTACGTGATGCGTGCTGGCATGTGCCACTTCATCAACTCAAACTGCTGGTGAACGTATAAATTCCTTGGAAATCAGTGCCAATGGTATCCTTTTCCGATTAGGATTACTTTAACGTTGAATTTTATTTCAATATAATAAACTCAGGGACGCACACCGAATGCGGTTTGTTTGCTCTGCGTGAGGTGGTTTCGAGGAATATCGGTTCCTTTTTAAGTTGATGATGATTCATTTTCGCATTAAAGATGTTTTAAATAAGATTTTATATTGCAACATTTCTACGTGTTTTAATTAAATTCTATACACATAACAAAAATTTATGAAACCAACCCAACTTATGCATAGTTAATCAATGTCCTAGCCATTGATCTTCATTACTATATATTCATATTATATAGAAAATTTCTAACAAATCGTGTACATTTAATTATGAGATGTAAAAAGTAACTGTGACATTAAATTAATAATTATAAAAAAATCAAAAAAAAAGAATTTTTGCCTACATTTTCGGTATAATTGATTTAAAATTAAATAAAA